TTTTTTTTATTTTGGCATGTAAGGCCAATGAGCTAAATGGCTTTTCTTTAGAAGCGTCCTGGCAACAAACGATAGCTCAACGAAATGGCTTATCACGTGGACATTTATTGCAGTGAAATACTCTGAGCACGTGTCGATTCTAAATTTGGAGAAACAAACCGGAGGACCCAGAAAACAATCCAAGCGACAACGGGGAGAGACATGCAAACTCCAGGGTAGGGATCGAACCCACGAACCTCCTGCACACCAGGCGAGGTAGTTCACACCTCGCCACCGTGGCGCCCCCATATATACACACACGAGCTTTACTACCCGGCTTCGCCCGAGACTTGGATTCTTGTCTTGGATTAACACACGGCCTACGCGGAGGGTTGGGGGGGGGGGGTATGCGTGACGTCAGCAGGCACACTACGTGACGCTGCCGCATGCGGGTGACATCACAGATGTGACGTCACCGCTCACCTCACTTGCCGTGCAAAATATATCCATTATTGCGCCCCCCTCCCCCCCCCCCCCCCCCCGAAAAATGCAAAAGTCTATTTTTATACTTTTTGCATTGTGTATAGTCTGGAAGCTACCCACATGCCAAATTTCAAGTTTGTTGCATGTTGGGAAGTATGCTCAACATTGCGAACAGACACACACATTCACAAATTTCCCTTATATATATGGAGATGTACACCACTCTGCCATGCACACTGGCATAGCGGTAATTACCGTAGTCAATACATGTGCACACTTATGCATTGATCATTGCCTCTGACCAAATCAACACACCGCATCCCAGCAGACCTCTGAAAATAAGTTGAGCCACTTTTGGCTAGTAAGTGTCTGGTTGGGTGACCACCACCCACCAGAAGTTGTTGTAGGCGTGAGGCTACGAGGTGGCCAGGCGATGGCAGTGTTGGGTCGTCACCTCGCCCATGCGTTCAATCTGGGAACTTTTCGTTTTTGCTCCCAGATGCTGTTCATGATTGAAACTGGCCAACACCGCCCCCCCCCCCAAATGCAAAAACCTCCTGAACAAGAGTCTTGAGACTCAAGTCATGATTGCCTGAGTAAATACGGCTCAGCATTATTAATTACGTGCGCATCAAATGCAAGAAGCCTCATAAGTATTTAATAAACGCTTGCTTAAAATATTTTTTTACCTGGATATATTAAATATGCGATATATTCATGTTTTAAATCAAAGTCCCATTTGGAGACCACAGAGAATTAAGTGACTGAGCTGTGGGGAATGCGTGTGTGTGCGTGCGTTCGTGTGTGCGTGTGTGCGTGTGTGTGTGTGTTCGTGTGTCCGTGTGTGCGTGCGTTCGTGTGTGTGTGTGTGCGTGTGTGCGTGTGCGCGTGTGCGTGCGTTCGTGTATGTGTGCACGTGTGTGCGTGTGTGTGTGCGTGTGTGTGTGCGTGTGTGCGTGTGCGTGTGCGTGTGTGTGTGCGTGTGTGCGTGTGCGTGTGTGCGTGCGTTCGTGTGTGTGTGCGCGTGTGTGCGTGTGTGTGTGTGCGTGTGTGTGTGTGCGCGTGGGTGTGTGCGTGTGTGTGTGCGCGTGTGTGCGTGTGTGTGTGTGCGTGTGTGTGTGTGCGCGTGTGTGTGCGTGTGTTTGTGTGCGTGTGTGTGCGCGTGGGTGTGTGTGCGTGTGTGCGTGTGTGCGCGTGTGTGTGTGCGTGTGTGCGTACTACAGCTCATTGTCGTGTTTGGAGTGGTTCTCGTCCGTTTTGTTTTGCATGCACGAAAGAACGGAGATGCAAATGACTCACAGTCGTGTTGACTGTTATAGGGCAAGTTCTGTCAGCGAGCACTCATTAAGGAGCACGAGATGGTAATCTGTGCGGTCAGCACCATGCCAGCCGCCGTGATCAGCCCAGGTCGCAGGATTCATAGCGCAGTGCACTCACCCACTGCGCCCATTGCGTATATGTGAATGTACAAATGACAAAGATCCCCCGGTAGAGCCTTAAATGACTGTTGGGGCAAAGTGATGCCTGTTAGCGAGCACGAGGGGGTTGGTGGCCAGCACCAGGCCTGGCTGTGCTGATGTTTACACATCCATACCAGCTACTGGTTTTAGGCTGAGTCAACCTAGAGGAGGCCCAGCACTGTGAGGTTCATAAACATAGGCGGACACACATGCTGAGGGTGATGCCCCCCTGTCTCCAGGACAGCCCCAGTAGGGGGAGTGATTGTTCTCTTCCAAAATAATAGTACGCATAGTAAGTAGTGCGTGTGATTACCGACTACTCTACAGTATTTATATTAAGATTGAGTTGCCCGTTACGCGCATTCCACGAATTGTCAAAAGACGGCTCACATTTCCATTCTGAATGAATCTGTGCATGCTAAATGTGTTAGTTAATTAGTCTGAGTCATAGTAATAAAAAAAACACGTTCTGAGGTACAGCACTCGAAGCAAAAAAAAAGCTCTTTTTCAGTGTAATTTCGTTGGGTGCTCATCAAAAATGATTAATTCCTCGTGGTTAAATATACCCTCTTTTAAAATATACCCTCTTTCAAGACATTAACTGGAACATCATCTCACTATCTTCAGTACACACTCCGTTGAATGCAATTAAAATAATCCACGTGTCGCCATTTTGATACGATCTCCTGGAGCGGCAGTTGAAACAATCGGCAATTTTTGTAACCCCCCCCCACCTACCTCTATCCACCCAGCAGCATGCCTGGGTTCATTTACAGTTAGTTCATCGTCAAGTCATGTGCGGTGGAGTAAAGTGTGGTCGCATTGAGTAGGGGAGAATGAGGGTACACCCACCTCTTCCAAGGTGTCTGACTAGCATGAAAGAGCACGGCCAAACGACCCTTTTCTATCCACAGCTACGCAATTGTCAACATTTGCCAATGTTATAAACGGAAACTCTAGTGCCCAACTCAAATTGTAACAACGCCAGTCACTGGAGCCCCGTAGGACTGACAAACAATATATGTTTTCCACTCAACTGTGACCCCAATATGCACACTCGGTGTCAATTGTGATAGAATCAACTGTGTCCATGCATCGTGGAAACCCTGGCAATTTTGTGAGATCGCTTTTCCTGACTGCAGTCACATGATTACCACGGCGTGCGCATGGCTTGAATTCTGACTCACGATAATAACACGTGATATGGGTTAAACATGGCATTGGGCACATTGGAACTCACTGTGTGTATTTCAAATGCTACGCCAAAAAAATCCAAATGTACAGAGCAAGTAAGACAACGACATTAAATGATGTTCAAACAATGTTGAAGCAAGCAGGCCTCCCGTTGACGTACACCATGTAAACAGAGCAGAGTCATGTATCTCCACATAGGAATCGAACGCGTTTCAGTCCATTGGCCCACTGGCTTTCCACACCAATATTATCTAGCAGCAGCATTTGTTTAACTAAACAAAACTCGGGAACGGGTTCAACCTTCCGAGTCTAATGTTGGACTGGAAAGAACGCCAATAGGACCGATGGCATATTTTATTTTTTACGTGGAAATGCAGCACTCCGTTTTGTTTTAAATATGGAATAACTCATTATGTTCCACCACGATGCATAATGAGTGTGTATACCGTTGAAAAAAGACTGCCCTAGTATCTTAAATGTTTATTCTTGGATCACAAAATCAGCAAACGGTCACATGTTAGCCGTCCGATGGAGTCAGGAGAAAGCAAGAATTGGTCACAGTTGTGTTTATTGAGTCCGGCATTCACACGCCGCGGCATTGTCACGGGTTGGTGGTGATATCTGTGTTTAGAATAGCCAGACAAATGGCGAGCGAGTACGTGGCAATTAAGCATCACTTCCACGAGCAGCCGTGGCGCGTGTGGGTGTGTGGAGAGCGGCAGCGCCGCGGTGAGCGCTACGAACCCGGCCAAACGAGCTCGATTCTCGCTCACGGCCAACACCGGTGACGATTATCTGAACCGATCCTGCGCCTCGCTTAGGTCGGTCGACTCAGCCTCAAATGAGTACCTGGTGTGCGGTGTGTAAATATCGCCACTCGGGAGACAAAGGCGGCCGGGCGTGGTGCTGGGCCCATCCACGCTCTCGTGTGCCGTGCCTGCCCGCTCACAGCAACTTGCCCCAACAGTCTGTGACAGGCTGTACGGGGGGGTCTTTGTCTTTGAGCGGTTGGGAGGAGGAGGAGACCAGGGGCAAAGAATGGCTCGGCAAATAGCGGGGAGAAGACGGGGGGGAGGGAGGAGCGAGCAGCCTTGTAATATAATGATCGTGCAATTTCCCTTCAGCACATGAGACCCACGCACCGTGCGCGCACAGCCACGCGCGCACAATGCCGAGTGCTCTTCGCGCGGCGCGTGCGTGCGCGATTGACGTCACTGCCGCAGCGGCAATTCAACAACACATGCACACACGCACACACACACATGCACATGCACACACATGCACACACACACACACATGCACATGCACACACGCACACACACGCGCACACACACATGCACACACACATGCACATGCACACACATGCACACACATGCACACACACACATGCACATGCACACACGCACACACACGCACACATGCACACACACGCGCACATACACATGCACACACACATGCACACACCCACACGCGCACACACACATGCACACACCCACATGCGCACACACATGCACACACCCACATGCGCACACACATGCACACACACATACATGCACACACACGCACACCCACATATGCACACACACGCACACATACATGCACGCACACACATGCACACACACACGCACACGCGCACACACACATGCACACACACATGCACACACACGCGCACACACACATGCACACACACATGCACACACACACGTACACACACATGCACACACACACGCGCACACACATGCATACACACACATGCACACACACGCACACATGCACACGCACGCACGCGCGCAAAAATGAAATTTACCGGGATCGTCTTGCTAAGCAAAATGTCACAGCCGCTGCTGTGAGAAGGGAGAAATGCACGCCACGTGCGCTCCTTACCCCGTCCATTGACCTTTTCTCTGGCTTCTGCCTCCAATACAAGTCCGGTCCCCTCCTCTCAAGCACAGACTCTCGAACGTTCCGTCTTCTTCTTCTTGTTGTTGTTGCTCGTCCATGTTGGATGATATCAATGCTTGTTGCTTCTTTTCGAGTGCTAATGTTTGCACAAGATGCCGTTTGATCGTCTCGTCTATTCACGTCTCCCTGTGAAAATGGGGATTAAACGCATCTTAAGATGCTGTACACATTTTTTTTTATTCGTGTGAGTCACGTACGAACGTATGAAACGAGCGTGAGCTGTCGCCGTGAAGAGGTTAACAGTTGTGTTTGAATTTTTCAAAGCTGAATATGCGCTGCAATATGACTATAAAATTGACTAATATGTCAAGTAATGGATTCACACCAAAGTATGAGTCGGGCTGCTATCACGTAGCTCGGTTGTTCTGAAATGAATTTAATATCAATTCCAGTTTTTCATTTTAATCTCGTCCATGAAGGCAGAGTCATGTACATTCGCCGTTCAATTTTCTCAATTCTTCTGGAATGTGAAAACAGAATTGTCTCTAATTTATTTTCAGAATTAATTCAATTTGCCACATTTCAACGAAGCTTTCACCACAAAAATCTGGGCTTAACCTTAATCTACGGCATCAACTTTATCTCGGCCTCCAACAAAATAAAGGGCGCAAAGCTCTGGCATTTATTTTTTGGACATATTCCATTTTCAGTCAGCTTGCAATATAAATAATGTTCTCTCAAGCCCGTGGGAATCAATTTTTTTATCTGTTTTTTTTCTTCCTTCTTCCGAGAACACAGGATATGTTTGATTTGTCTGCTGAGCGAACTGCGCATGAATCGTTTTCCCCGTTAACAACGTCGCATGCTACATAATCACGGTGCAGCAGGAATTACAGCTGTGAGTAACGGTTAAGGCGCAGCTCTGAAACTGCCCACTCGCTTCACTGCTGGCGGAAGCGCCTCAAGCTCGAGGGAGCCCCAGGAGAGCCCCTCTGAAATGTATTTTCGCCGACTCTTCCACAGTAAATTCCAATTCAATATTGCGTACGCAAAATATGACCAGCCGACGATTGTTTATGATGGAACAACCAGGCTAAAATAAATGACAACACATTAGAAAGCTGTACAAATGAAAGGCTTGGCATGTTGGTATCTTGAATTTTTAACACAGATCCTACTGTGTTAATGAACTGCGATGCAATTTTGAATTTACATTTTATTTTTAAATGCTTGGTGTGTGTAATCAGTGTAGCATTCACTTTTATAGGATACCTCCAAGCAGCGATTTCTCTTCTATATTCTTCAAACAACAGAGAAATGCTGCTTGGTTAATGACAACAACAAGACAACCTACTGGGAGCACCAAAACCAACCGGCAATTAGGATTGTTGATACCGTCTCCACGCTGGCCACATCGTTGCTCACGGCGAAAGGCAGAGAGAACTATCTATCGACTTCACTGCCAGCAGCGCATTCACAAATGGTTCATCGCCCCCTCCTCCCCCACCCCCCCCCCAAAAAAAAACAACAACAACAACAACAGCAATGACCACGGAAAAAAAACGATTGCATCTAACAACTCGCTATTTCAAAAAAAACATCCTTGCCAGAGAAACCACCGCAATTAAACATCTGCTTTCTGATGCGGGTGGAGCGAAACGTCCGGAGAAAATAGCTCCGCGCTGCAAAGCGCCGCGTGTCTGTGTCGCATAGCGCCTCTAATGGAATGCTGTCATTATGGGACTCCCTAGGGGGCAGGAGGCGGGGGGGAGTGGATGGGGGGGGGGGCTGGCTGGCTGGAGGTGCGTGCTACCTCGGCGGCGCAATTGGAACAGAAGCCCCCCGTGGGAATCCCGTGTAGATAAGACACGGAGGCTTATTAAATCCCGGCTTGTTACTGTTCGCGACCGACGCGCAATGGGATGGCGTTCTCGCGTGCGGCGGGCGCGTACCAATCCGTTCGCCGATCGCCGGTCAAAATGTTTTGAGAATGAGGCGTGAAAGGGAAGTCTGTAGTCGGGATTGGGTTTTTTTTTGTCTGTTTGTTTGTCTGAAGCCCCTCAATCTCTGTGCAGTCATTTAAAATCGTGTTGCTGACTACAGCAAAAAATATCATATTTCAGCCACGAGAAATCCACAAGTGCATGAAGGCCTCTCCCATACCATATTGGTCGATGTATGAACAATAATTATAATTTACAGCTCATTGTCAATCTGTTGCTGGATAAATGCCTCCTCTGTTGGCCTTGTGGATTGTTCGACCATACTTCACCATGCTGATTCGTGCAGAGTGGATAACAGGGGCGGGTTAATTCCAAGGCCGAATCAGGTGACCCTCGCCAATGATGTTAGCCATGGCCAGGAATCGAACTCGAACCCGACGGGTTACCAGCACAGGTCACCAACCACTGTGCCACCACTCTACATCTACATTGGCAATCAGGGTTACTCTTTAGAAAAAATATTATTCATTGTGAATCTGGGTATACTCTGCATTTAATATCCAGCTCTAACACATATTTTGACCCAACTCATCATACATCTTACGCGCTTATTCAACACTCATTAAAACGCATTTCCTGTCACAGGAATATAAATCGTGCGCATTGTATTGCTTAACTCATCATGGGTGTGCATATGTTTATAAATAAATCCACACTCATGTACAGCAATCGCCCACGTGACCACGCACAAATCAGCGTTAATTGCATTAAGTCCTTTATTGAAATCTCCGTGTAAGCTGCAGCCTTTTAATGAAGTCAATGGCTATTTGACAAAAAAATACAATTTGCAGTTATTATATTCGATTTGCAAGCATGCAGCAGCAACAACAGCAAGGTCACATTGGTGAGAAGGCTCTCGACCAGGGGAGATACCCGGGGACAGCCCGTGACTTCACACGGCCCACCGTTTGCAGACGATACCCATTTGCAGGCCGGTGATGCATAACACCCTTGTATCGCGCGGGGACAGCTGCCACTTAAGGGTTCCCTCGGCTCGACTGCCGCGGGGCATTAGCGGGGCGGGTCCTGACGCACGCCTGTAACGTAGCACGGCGGAGGCGAGGGTTGGTGGATCACGGCATATTTCTAAATCCTTTATATTAAGTTCACTTGCGTGCTTGCGCGCTTGCTTGCGTGCTTGCGTGCTTACGACCGTGCAAATCTTTCGGTCGTTTTTTAACCCACTTCCCGTGATCCAATCGAGCTGACATTTTCCACACAGACTCGTTGTACGTGACAATTAATGTTCGTGGATTTTTTCCCCAAAATTGTACACTTTTTAGGACAAAAATATTATATTTAATTACCAATTGCTTAATGGTGCCATGCAATCATCTGACTCATAGGTGGCAGCCATCTCAAGCCAGAGGACGAGAGGACTTTAGCCGCCACGCATATAAAGGATTTATAGTGAAAAACTTTGTTTTTACGGGTTATACTTGTTTTTTAATTCGCCCTCTCGCGGGTGTCAAGGTCGAGGTGCCATACCCTGGCCCAGCCATGAGAAGGCAATAGAGCAGAATGTGGAAGATCATCATCTATCCCTTCTGTGTGGAATCGAGTGTTGCCTTATTACACATTTGGGGGTTTCTCCAGGTACTCTGGTTTCCGCTCACATGTATCAACACTCGTTTATCGGCTGAACCCAACATTGTATTGAACTAAACTAATTTGATTTGACCGGGTAAGGCCCACTGAGCTGTATAGCTCTTTTTCAGAAGCGACCTGGCCACAAATAATGGCTTATCATGTGGACATTTACAGCAGTCAAATAATCTAAATATGCAGGGAGGACCCGTAAAAAATCACGCGACCACGGGGATAATTTGCCAACTGAAAATATACAGCAGACGTCAGGATCGAATTCACGACCTCCTGCATGCCGGGCGAGGGAGGTAACATTTCGCAGGGCTTGGTGCTGGCTCCTGCTTTCTCGCGCCTCTGAGTCATTCTCTCTCTTCGAGAGTGAGTGCATACCGTGTGCGCGTTTACAAGTTGAAATTATCGTTATTATAATTAGAATGGTTGAGCTGAGATTTGATGCAAGGCGCTGTGAGATGCTGAAGCGTTTAAGTTCGCTAAAAATGCAAATCCTGATCGTTATCCTTAATTAGAGATGGATATATTCGGCCTGGCGACACGACTTCTTGTTTTAAGCAGCGTCCGTGCGTTCAGTTGTGGTTCATTTTGAAGTATACCGTGAGTCAAGAAGCTCTTAAACCGGGTTTCACCGACAAAAAACAACAACAACAACGCTTCCCCGACAAACACAACGCGTGGTTTCCCACCTACGCTGTTCGCAAGTCGTCCGTCCGTCACGCGTGCTCCACACCAGCGGCGCGTGGGCATGGGCGCTGCCCGACGGCGTCTGCCCAACGACGGGGGCCTCCCTCTCGACACGGGGCCGATGGGAGTCCAGCGGCAGAAGGGAACACCCTCGGAGGGCGCTAATGGACGCGGGAGAGGAATGATTGTGTCATTAATTCCTCCTTGGCTCATGACAAACGGACGCTGTGAATGTGAACGCATCGCACACCGTGACCGGCGCGGAGAGAATCACGGCCGAACAACCGTCAATGACCAGCGACAGCGTGGCGAGGGATGTCCTCCAGCAGTGGATAGATCATGCCTGATGGTGATGATAGCTTGGAAAATAAGTCGGCTCCAAGGATAGAGTCATGGTCGTTACGTCTGTATGGAAATTGTTTATTTAAATCTAACACTGGCAATGATGGTGAGTGTGCTCTGTGTAAACATTTTAAAAATGAATTAGATGTGACAGTGAGTTGTTGTTCAATGAATATCCTTTTCCACTTTGAATGCCACGGAAACACAATCGAATGCCCCTATCGCTGCTGGAGCAGTGTGTTGCATGCTTCATGAGCCCTTGACTTGTCGAACGGCAATGCTTGGAACAGATACATTTTTTTAAAAACCCCACCGCCCACCAATATCAACTCACTCCGGTGCACGTGGCTCTAAGGGCGGTTTAAAAAAAAATCGAATGACGCAGACTGCTCTTTGTGGCAAAGACAAAGATCTCCCGTGTAGCCTTAATATACTATTGGGGCA